AACTTTACAACTAAGGGAGTTAGAGGTGCACCGATATGTTAGTCGCATACCGAAATAGCACCAATAAAAGGAAAATTAACATTATCAGCAATCGGCTGTTTTTGGCCAGTGTAGCTACTAATGCCACCGTTAAATGCTGCATGCATGCACGCAGCAGAATCATGCACACAGCCAGGAGTGCAGCATCTCACTGCCTTTGAACTAGATCTTACCCAGAGCTTCATTCCCACTGCAGCTGTGGACCAGGGTGCTTAGCCCATGCCATGGCTGGTCATGCTTTGCTGGTGCCACTGCCAGGCAGCTGGAAAAAGAGTCAGTAGCCATAGCTGGGTCCTACTGCTGGCCTCCTTTTTAACCAATCTTTTTACCATGAAAACATTGTTAACCACTGGTTTGGTAGGTACAGGAGGGGTCTACGCTGGGGAAATCTGGGTTCTGTTCACAGTTTTGCTACTGACTTCAGTGTAACACAGAATGTTTAATCCACCTATGCCCCAGCTTCCTTCTCTGTAAAATGAGATTAATACTTCCAGGAGTCTGGCAAAACTTGAATTCATTGTTTAAAAAACACTTTAGCATTTCCTAGCAAAAAAAGAAGTTAGAGAAGTGTTTTTCTCAGATTCAGACTTCAGAAAGATTAATTTTAGGACTGTGTAACTGGTATAAAAATCTGTGCACTCCAGTGTCTTCGTTCTATCCTGCTCACTATTGCCATAAGGTCCTGCATATTTATCTTTCTGGACTGGAGAAGGGAAGATGCTGACTGGTGTTTTCTTAAATCTTGAATATGGTGTGTTATGGAAAGCTTTCTAATATGTTTTGATAACCTCCATCCTTGGTTACCACAGAAATGGTAAGTTGGGACAAAGAGGCTAGTTTATGCTCATTTTGAAGGTAGCAAACCCCAGACTCTTCACTGTCAGTTTATACAATACAGACAGCTTTGTAGCTCAGTGGAAGTGGTCTGCTATTTAATAAGCAGTCTGACCACTATGGCTTGAAGTGTCACGAGGAAGAGTTCCTCAGGACTGCTGAAAACATGAAAATGAAAAGATGTTGAGTAGCTAAAGGAAGATACCAGTTTCTATTCACTCTAATGAAAATAATCACCTCCCCCTTCTAGAAGGCGAGAGGGAGAGAGAGAGGGAGCTAATAAGACTGGGAGTTTTTCATTCTTGGGCAAATTTTAACAAACTTCCTTTAAAATTATTCCTTAGTTCTTCTCTGTTTCTTTGCTAGTCACTACTGCAAGATTTATTCATGCGCAGCACAAATACTTCTAAAAATTCTAGATAAAATCAGAGAAAAGCATAGCTGAAACCTTCCTCCTTTACAATCGTTAATTATATCCATCTTCTTGTTACTAAATTTAGTGTTTGTGATACTGCAGTAACTTGAACCTGTGCCAAGTTACTAAAGTCATGATGGCGAAGTGTTGAATTTGGCTGTTTTTGAAGAAATGAAGCAGGAAGACTATAAAAGACAGAACTGCTATTCATGCCAAAAGCAAAAGGCATTTATATTTATTTGCTATAAATATAGTAAAACTAGATGACAGTTTAATGTTGGGCTAATTAATCAGATCGAGTCAAATTCAGGTATGACATAAGGGAGCTTAAGTTACGCATCAGTTGGTAAACTGGAGGAAGGGGGCTGAATTTACTATTATGTATTGTGTAGCAGTCTGACTAGACAATGGTGTAAGTTATATCAGTGCTGGTCGCTGCCATGCTACTAGCACAATCATGCAAGTTGCTTCTCCCCCTCCCTCACTCGATGCCCAAGGCAGCTGCTTGGGTCACCCAGCCCTAGTTGCACCACTGGCTGGGAGTACACTCCATGGATATAAACTAGGATTGTACTACCATCTCTCCTAGGGATGGTGATTGGGGTACCAGCCCTGGGTGCAATTTTAGTATCATCTTTGTATTTAGCTAGTGATGTTTTAAAGTTTCCCTGAGTGTGCTGGAAGCATCCTCACAATGCCTACAAAACACTTAGTTTTTTCATACACTAAGAAACTACAGAACAAGGCAGTTGTTCCCAACCTGGCTGAAAGAATAAGAAAAAATAGTTAGCCTCAGATAAGGTTAATGTGCTTTTCCCTTGGACTCAACAAAATAAGAATAATACTTTGATTTAAGAGAGGTTTTTACAGGTCAGCCCAGTTACAGAGCTGTAACTAGGAATTTTGGCACTTGGGCAGGGGGGGAAGCTGAGTGTCAGAGAGTAGGCTGGGGCAGGGACAGGGGCAGAGGTGCTGAGTGCTGAAGAGTCCTACCTCCCCACACATGGACAGCTGATATTCTGGTGCAAGCTGCTGATGCCCCTGGCATGATTCAGGTTCCCCTCCTGGGTTGCTACTGCTGCACAGGCTCCCCAGGAGCTGCCATTCTGGTGTACCCTCTGAAGCATCACCCAGGGCTGGTGCCCCACTCATCCACCCCTAGTTATTCTGTTGAGTTGCCAAAGCATTACAGGAAAATGTCAGTGAAGCTTGATGTCTGACTATGTCCTGCCAAACAACATAACAAAACCAACCTGTGATTTGGGTGGTGTTTGCTTAAATCTTGTCCTGTCTGGGTACCAGAAAGGAGTTATTTGGGAGAGGGTGGAGAAAAGTTAAACGATTCTTCTATGGAGATTTTCACTGGAAAATCAACTGTAACTTCAAACTTTTATCATAAATCTCCTGACTGATTAAGGACATATAAGTAAAGCCAAATTATGAGAGCAAGAATAATTAAACCATACGAGTTAAGCTAAGGAAAACAAAAGTCCCAACCTCTTTGGGGACAGTTTTCAGTCTGGTGTTTATATCATTCCCACAGGACTCATTAAGGTGGCAATGCAGTTGTACTGAAAATGTGTCCCACTGTTAATAATGCCAACGCACCTCTTAAAACAGTGTGCAGCAGTGAGTACCCAGCAGCTGCTGATGAGAGTGGCACCACACAAAAGTCTTCCATCTCCATGAGATGATTTCAAGCGGAGGGCAACCTGCCAGGGCCAGCCTCCCCTGCACACACAGAACAAATCAGTCATTTCTTTACTGCACTAAACAAAATGGAAGAGTAAAGGTAACTGGCAAGCTCTCGCAAGTATACAGCCAATATCAGCACCTTGGTTTAAAAAACTTCAGACTCGTGATACTTACAGGGTAACAGCTGAGAGTCCATTTAATCATGTTCATATAGCATTTGGAATTCCATTTATCAGCCCTCAAGGCTAGTTTACAGACCACTTGGACATCTAACTCTCTCAGCACTTCATTCTACTCTGACTTGGTTTAATCATTCCTTCTCATGTTACTCCTGCTGTGCCAGAAACACACTGTCCCCCCACAAAATATCAGGCAAGACAAACAAAAAATTGAGTGTATTCTTTTCCATACAGAAACTAAGCATAACGTAGCCACAAGGTCCAAAGTTTCCTGTGATCAGGGAACAAAAAGGATTCCAGGAAAAAACTCTGCCTCTCCTGCTCTGTCAGTTTGGATAGGGATGAGGTCTGGATAGGGATGATCCTGCCTCAGGCAGGGGTTGGACTAGATAGACCAGCCCTACTTTTCTATGACTCTATTAATCCCATCTTTACATTTATCCTGAGCTGTATGAAAGGGAAGCCTTTAGTACATTAGACTAAGGGAACAGCAGAAACCACAAGAAATATATGGATTAGCTTCATCTTTCTACAAGTGGTCATATGCTGAGCGTAAATTCTAGCACTTCGGCCATTCTGGGACATGCATTTCCAACTCTGTAAAGGTGGGATTGGTAATAGATTCTCAAAACTATTTTGTACTTATGTCCTTCCACAGACTGATGGGACTAGCAACAAGGGAAGCCATGAACTACTAGGAAATATGTAGCAGTTATCAGACAAGAGTGAAGTTAGTTCTCAACAAGCCATAGACCTGCTACATAGCAGCAGACACTGAGTTCATCTAGTCTAGTGTCCTGTCTTTAATAGTAGCCCATACTGGATGCTTCAGAGGAAGATGGGATATTCTGTGCTTCACACAGGTGTACTCCTGGTCCTTAAAAGTTAGAGGTTGGCTCAAACACTGAAACATGAGGTTTAATATCCCTTCCAAATTTTTTCTTAATGTTAAGGAGGTTAACTTGGGATACTCTTACTACACCCATCTAAACTATCTAATCCCTTTTTGAACCTTGTAAAATTCTTGGCCTTGATAACTTCCTGTGAGAATGAGGGCTAGTCCAGTCACTGTATTTAGTCAAATATAAGACAACCCTGAATATAAGATGGCCCCCTGGTAAATAGATTCTATACAAGAACAATTTATACATTTGTTATAATTTTCCAGGTATGGAATCTAATTATTGGAGGTTTCCCTTGAATTTGTCCCCCTTCTACAGCAACAGCAGGGAACATATATCTGGGGGTCAGGTAGCCCCTTTGTCTTCTGCCCCCTGCAGTCACTTCCCATTTGCCCATTACTGTCATACCCTACTCTCCCTGAGTATGTGGAAGTGAGAAGCAAATTTAAAAATACTGAACTTCAAATAAATATACTTGTACTAATTTGCATATAGTATCTATAGACATACTTCATTCAGAACTGATACATTTTATAATTTTTACAGTTGCTATAAATGCACTTTTAAGTAATTTTTGTACCTACTTATATATATTGCAAACTGCATGATATCAGTCCAAGACCAAAAAGCTCATGGCTTACCATATAGTTCACAGGGCTGGACCCCAGCAGAGTCAACAGGATTTCAAGCCATGGTGGCCCCACAGCTCAGCACTGCTCAGTATGTGTGTGTACTCCAGATACCCGCATAAAGGATTCATATACTAATTAGCCCCTGCACTCATGGCTGGAACCGAGTGCTCTTGTCATGAGTCCTGGAATCCTCCAAAAATGTATATGCAGATGAAGCATAGGGCAGTCTGGTCTAGCTCCACCTCATGGAGGGCAGGGCCACACTAATCATGTGTGACAGACTGAGAGAGGGTGCAACACAGGGATTTTGGGTGAAGTGCTTGATGCCCCATTTGGTGATGTTTGCCAGACATTTAAGGCTGGTGAAGAAACAGGAATCACTGGAAATAGGAAAGAAAGGCACAGCTCAGCTGTGGGAGTAAGGAGGGTGTTGAAATGTATGCAGTGCTGTAGCTTACCATGACTTGAAAAAGAGTCAGTGCTGAGGGGAACACAGCTCAATGGGCATTACCATGTTTGACTCAAGTAAGTTGCCTTGATATAGGTAAGGATGGCTGGCAGGAGAAGCACTGTGACCATGTAGGTAGGCTCCCCAGGGCAGGTGATTGTCTCTATCGTGTCCTCTATAGGAGGTCTATACTGAGCAGATTTTGATATTGGGGGGTGGAACTGGAGCTTGCTCCATCCACTCCATGTATTGACGTGGTATTGCAGTGCTCCCAGGACTGGTCCAAAAAAATAGACCAAAAAAAAAATGGCTTTCTGAGCCCAACTGCAATTAAACATCTGGCTAGGGCTATGGGGATGTGGAAAGTGGGGGAAGACACCTCAGAACCCAGTAGCGGCACAAATGATTTATGAGGCATATTTCTCTCTGGAAAATAACCTTGATGGCATTGACCATAGCATCCTTAAATGTAAGAAGTTTATATGGGAGGCAGAGATGGGATTCAATGTATACCACCTTACAAGGCCTGGACACGCAGGTGTTTGGCTTGCAGGAGTGCGGGATTCCCCGGAGGAGAAATTATAGATATCTGGAGAAGCGCTGGGAGGTGGGACCATCGTGGTGGGGGGGGTTCAAATGAGAATAAAGCAGCAGGAGTAGGGTTCCTGGCAAGGGAGTGGGGTTTGAAAATTAAAGACCAGCAGGTACTGGAAGGGCAACTGCAAAAGGCAGTGGTTGAGGTGGAGGGCATGGAGGTGACTTTGTACAATGTCTATGACCCAGCCGAGAGAACGGAGAGGGTGCGCTTCTTCCGCAAAATGGGGATGTGTATGGGGGTGGAGGACCACGGATTGTGATGGGGGATTTTAATTGCATACTTGAAGAGGGTGGGCGGATTGGGATAGGGCAGGGAGTTGGGATGGATAGTACGGGGAAGTAGCTGCAGGGGTGGATTAAAGATGAGGGGTTCCAGGATATTTGGAAAGGGACAGGAGTTTTTACTAGAGTGGATCCGGGTGGGCAGGGGCAATTGAGGATCAATTTTGTGTTGGTGTCGGAGGGGTTGGCAATCTGCAGCAAGCGACTGATAGACATCAGCTTCTCGGATCATGTCCTGTGGGTGGAAGTGGGCATCGGGCAAGGGCTTAAACAGGGGAGAGGGGTGTGGTAATTAAATGTGTCCTTATTGGACGACCCACAGGAATGCATTGCCTTTCAAAGGGCGTACCGCCAGTGGCAAACTTTACAGCCCTTTTTCCCAACACGGTGGGACTGGTGGGTAGAAATCAAGAAGCGTGTGCGGGAGTGGTTCACTGGTGTGGGGAGAAAGCGGGCACGGCAGAGGAAGAAGGAGCTAGCGCGCTTACAAGGGGAAGTTCAAAGATTGTGGGAAGAGCTGAAGAAGGGGGCAGCAGTGAAGAGAGAATGGGAACGGGCAAGAGAGGGAGTGCAAAATTGGTTCTGGACCAGGATGCAAGAACGGATGTTCCTGGCCAAGGTGGAGTGGGTGGATGAGGGAGAGGAATGGGGCAGGCTTTTCGCCTTGCGGGTGAGAAGGAAGAAGCGGGTGATGGGGGCGGTCTGCACGGCCGATGGAGGGAGCGTGAAGGACGTGGATGGGGTATTGCGGGAGGTGACTAGGTTTTATGGGGAATTTTCGTAGGAAAGCGGTGAGGTGAGAACAACTGGAGGGACTGGTGGAGAGTTTGGAAGCAAAAGTGGGGGAAGAAGGGAGGCGGGGGCTGATAAAGGAATCAACGGAAACCGAGATGCTGGGGGTCTTGAGGACAATGCCATTAAAGACGACCCCGGGAGGTGACGGGATCCCGGTGGAATTTTATGGGAAGTTTTGGGATTTAGTGAAGGGGGATCTCTTGGCCCTGTTTAAGGAAATTGTGGATCGGGGTCGGGTAGGGGAGGGCTTTGCCCAGGGAGTCGTGGCCTTGATCTATAAGAAAGGGGGATGGGAACACATTAAGAACTGGAGACCGATCACCCTGCTGAATTCCAATTATAAATTATTCTCCAAGATCCTAGCGACAAGGATGGGGGAGGTGTTACTGCAGGTGCTGGGTGAGGAACAAATGTGCGTGGTGGGGGGGGCGGCGGATGACACAAGCACACTGGATACTATGGGATATGCTGTCGTACACTACTGACCGGAAGTGGAACATGATAGTGGCGAGTCTCAACCTGCAAAAGGCATACAACAGCATTGGGCACGAGTTTCTGTTTCGGGTTCTGGCAGGGATAGGATGCCGGGGGAATTTGTGGGGTGGGTGTGGGCACTCTATGGGAGGGCAACAAGCAGGGTGCTGGTGAGGGGCTTCCTGGGAGAAGCCTTTGCAGTAGACTCGGGGGGTAAGACAAGGGTGTCTGTTGTCACCGGGGCTCTTTGTTTGTGCCATTGAGCCTCTGGCACAGCGAATCAGAAGCGATAGGGTGATCAGTGGGGTTAGAGTGCTGAGGGGTGGGGAATTTAAAGTCCTCCTGTACATGGATGACATGACGTGTGTGGTGCGGGACGAGGTGTCCTTAGGAGGAGTGGTGAAGCATGCCAATGAGTCTGGGGAGGTATCTGGAGCGAGAGTGAACATGGACAAGAGTGTAGTCCTGGCAGTTGGGAATTGGGGGGAATTGGGGAAATTTGGATTGAAGGTGGAAAGGGAGGAACTGAAAATACTGGGCGTGTGGATGGATACCCAGGGGAAAGGGAAACGGGCTTGGGAAGTGTTAGAGGGGAGAGTAAACCAGAAGGTGGGGTTGTGGAACACACGGAGTTTATCATCAAGGGGTAAGGTGCAAGTGATCAAACAGTGCCTGTTGCCAATGATCTTGTACACAGCGATGGTGTACCCCCCGTCCTGGCTACAGGCCCAGCAGGTCCAGTGGGCGTTATGCCTCTTCTTTTGGGGGGGAAGACAGAGAAGGTGGCCAGGACAGAGTTATATAAGGAAGAAGAGCTGGGGGGATGGGGTCTTCCCAACATAGAGGTCTTTGTTTATGCGTACTTTTTGAAGATGGTTGTGAGGGAAGCGAGGGGTGCACCGGGAATGGTTTCCAACTTTTGCATTTTCTGGGGGGGAAGACTCCTACAAAAGCTGGGACTGTTCAGGAGCGGGTGGCAGGGGGCGTGGGCTTGGCAGATGTCACTCCCTTATGCATGCCTTGGATCCTTTCTTGAGAGGGAAGGCTTGGCGGGGTTAGGGATCGAAGGGCTGGCGGATGGCAGAAAAGTCCTTAAGTTCATGAGGGGGAAGCAGAGGATGTCAGATGTCGGGGATTTGAGAACGGAGAAAGTCAGAAGGGTGTGGAAAGGGCTAGTGGGGAAGAAATGGAAAGGGGAGCACGAGGAGCTGGCGTGGAGGGCCGTGCGAAACGCACTGCCAGTGACAGGTGCTGAATCGATGGAGACTCTCACGGTCCCCCAAGTGCCCAAGAGAAATCTGTGCTGAGCCCAAGTCAGTGGCACATGCCTTGTGGGACTGTTTTTATGCACAAAAGGTGTGGGAGAAGGTAGCCATCTATTTGAAAGAGACAGCAAGGGGAATGGGGATCACTATCGAAAATGTACTCTATGCGTTAACAGAGGGGACGGATGGGTCATGGGGTGTGAGGGCCCTTATCACATGCACCAAAGTAGCGCTATGGAAAGTGCGTTCCCTGTTGGCACTAAAGGGCTCGTGCTTTTCAACGTCAGAGCGTTTGCAGTTAGCAATGCACGAGCTGCGCTTCTATAGAGGCAGAGAAAAACATGGGATGGAAGGAGGGGATACAGCGCTCTGGCAAGGGCTGGACTTCAGGGGGTTGTTTCAGCCCCATATAGGTATAGGATAGACTAAGGGACAACTTTTGTTGTCAGAAAGAGTGGGTGACGGCTTTGTCAGTACCTTTCTGTTAAGTATCAATGCATGAATCTGTAGTTACATAAGAAGAAAGGGTAAGATGTTCACTGAATAACACTGGAGTTTTAAGCAAAGTGAATGAGACGTTGTTTTTGTAATTTCTTGAAACTGTATTTGTATTCCCTTTGTGAGACCTCAGATGGGGTCCTTTCTAAATCTGTTTGATATTGCCTGTTTTCTAATAAAATGTTACCAAAAAAAAAAAAAAAA